GTTAGTTATCCACTCTGAGCAAAATAATCTTTTCAGCTCGTGCTGTTTCCATCATCGCTGTCCGTGTTAGCTCGTGAGGTCTACAGCCTCGGACAGAGGCCGAGTCTTTGTGATCAAGGGAAGGTCAGTACGCCAGGATTGCCGGATGAGCTGCACGTGTCTCCATCCTCGTTCCGAGAGCAATAAATTGTGGATTCCTCCGGTGTTTATGGTTTCAGAAAGAAGGTACTAAATCTTCTCGAGATTCCAAGAGCTGAAACATGTATGTGACATATCACGTATATAAAGATCCACATTTACGCAATATTAATGGCTTTGTAACCTCTTCAACTGGACGTCAGTCAGAGCCAGCCCAGAATCTGTCTGCTAGGTTCTTCTACAGCCTTTTTTTTTACGTCGGCTCTGCGCGTTGACAAGTTGATGGTCGCTGGATTGAGCCCCAAGATGTTGCTGTATCACCTTCGCAATTCGTACTCTGCACGTGCGAATTCAGAAACATGGGATGGGCGAGACATATCGCACGCATGGGTGACTGCGCGGAGTGTATTCAAATGGTTCATAGAGATCCTAATGTTTCTGTGGCAGTGGGTTTCTTGGAGTTAGGGCTTACCGTCTAGATTATAAATCCGACGTTTCGGTGACTTCCTCAAACTCCATCATCACTAATGTCATGAGTTGACAATTTGTCGGTAGAGCTTTCTCTCTGAACACCTAATACACTATACGCACACATGTAGCATTTGTTGTTAGAGTTGCAACGTTAGTGCAAAAATGTTCCTAAGCCATCGTTAGAACAGACTTTCGGAATAATGGCGTTGAATCACATTTGTGCAACGCTGACCTACGTCATGTGACGTGAAGAACGCCAGTGCACTCCAAACAGCGCTCCTTTCCAATCTGTACTCAATTTTGAACGTGATGGTGCGGACTAGTTAGAAGATTGATTTTCTCGATTAATCGTGAGTCGGAACATCGAAAGGGCCTGACTGAGAGCACAAGAGGGTGATGACGTCAGCTTAGCCACTGCTGTGGATTCACGCGTTTTGCATTCATCCTTATCGCTGGTCACCAAACTAACAAATCAGCTTTAACGTGGCTCTGTGAGTAAGCGGAAGACCTCGTAGGGCCACTTTGTGGTCGGTCACTTTATGAGGGGCATAAAACCCTTCCCCGGAGGGAAGGAGCAAACTTCCAGCCGGAGCGGACTCATTTTAAGTCCTCACTGGAGAGCAGACCGGCCTTCTGCGTACGACCGGATTTAAAGTTGGGCCTTGAACGTGGGAGGGAGCGCAGAGCCTTCAGTCAGTCAGGGCTCTTGGGCGCGGTGAATCTAATTACGGAAGTTGATGTATAAATCTCGGAGATTATATGAAAACACGCGAATTCGAGACTCCGTGTTACTGGGCGGGAAAAAGAGATGAACTGAGGTCCCCCCATACTTTGACGCAGCTCGTGCTCAAATATAGTTTGCGTCCAATATTTTCGTCTTCACGTTTTCAGTTTAGCGATGCTGAAGTTTCAGAATCGGTACAGAAGGCGTACCCAAACTCACCTTGTTAACGGAAGGGACCCTAGAGACCGAGTTTCAGGCATTAAATACGACACGATTCAAAATTTCACTTAAATTGGTTTCGGTTTAATGTTTCCGATGTGCTGACAGTCGGACACAATGACGAGAGGATGGAGAAAATTACGTAACGAAGAGCTTCATAAGTTCATCTTCACGAAATGCTCTCACAGCGACGATGTTAGGAAGGACGCGAGAGGAAATAAGAAATGCGTTCAGAATTTTTGTAAGGACGCGGAAAGGGAGAATGAGAACAGGAAGACGAAGGGGCTGATGGGAACGTAATATTAAAAAGGATCTTGCAGAAATACTGTGTGAATGAGTGGACTCGCTTAAAGTGACTCATTACAGGACACAGTGACGATGTTTTTTGAAATCGGTGATGAACCTCTGTCTGGGTAACACATACGAGGTGCGATCGGAAAGTTTCGAGACTGCGCCTATAAAAACCCGTACACTTATCTCAGGTATTAAATTCATCCATCACCCTCGACGTAGTTCCCCTGGGAGTGAACACAACGATCCCAGCGCCGCTGCCAAGCCTGGAAACATCCCTGGAAATCTTTCTTTGTCAGCCTGTCAAGCACCATCTGCGATTCTGCCTGAATCTCTTCTATCGTCTCAAATCTCCTTCCCTTTAGCTGAATTTTCATCTTTGGGAAGAGGAAGAAGTCACACGGAGCTAAGGAGGGTGCGGGATGACGGCCATGGTGTTTGAGGTGTACGCGCAGTCTTGAAACTTTGCGATCGCACCTCGTAAGCTCGTAGTTTCGTGAGTAACTGAGTCGTACAAGGGACTTTGTAGCATGGACTTCGCGGAATGTGTGTAAATTACCCACTAATTAGTGAATGAGCAGAACTTACAACAGAGTAAGTTCGTCGTGGATGAGGGAGGAAACGAGTCGCTCATTTAAACTTGGAAATAACGAACACTTTACAGCCATTGCAAGGGGAAAACAGAGCTTGGATTTATGAGTACAGTTCGCAACACCTTTCTCCGCCTGACAAGTGTCTCAAATTTGTGTCGCTCGTCGATTCCTCACACCAGCGCTTCATCCACTCTCCGCCGTCCGACCACTGTCGGTAACAGTGCCAGTTTAATCCGGCTGTCATTTATAGACGAAACCACGTGTCACAATCGGATGTGAGCCTCAAAGGTGAGAAAATTAATAAGAAATTATGGAACACCCCGAGATGACTATTATCCAAGATCATCTTGCACAGAACCTTTGAGATGGAACGAATGTTGCACTCGTCGAAAATTAACAAATAAAACATTGTTGAAACATTTATTTATTTATTATATAAATAAATAATAATATAATATGCGAGCAGAACTCTTTTAACTGGCAAAACGTCTCAGATGTGGATGGTAATGGATTTTAATGGCGCTGAAGGGATGGATGCTAGCTGCTACTCGTTCAGGCGCATTGACATTTTCGTGTTACGAACTGTTCAAAGGATCTTCCATTCAGAGGCCTCTACTGAACTCCTCCCCACAGGAACGTATGACGGGCATGTGAGCTGACAGGCAAGTTGTCTTGATTTCTTGAGGGAGATGTTTAAAAAACCGCAACTCGTACTCGAGTGCCAGTACGATACACTTTCTGTGGTGGAGTCGGTACTAACGTAAATAATAGGACATGTCACGTGATAATTCATTTATAACCTCTTCTGTGCTTTCGACTCGTACGTGGAGGAATTTTTGGGAGAATTGCGTATGCTGTCCAGAATTCCTTTTAACGTCTTTGACGAGATACTCGGTTGTTTACCTTGGACGAATCAAATGGCACAGTTGGTCGGTAAAAATACTCAAATACCTTAACTTGTCCAGCCTGTGTTACAGCAGATTGTGAATGTGATAACCACATTCTTTTCGCACAATGTCAACCAGAGACACCCGTGTATCTTCCGGAGTAAATTAAATGACGTAGGCAGGTGATATTTCAGGTCCTCGACGTACGCAAGTCGACTTCTGGCTCGAGAAATTCAGGGAATTGTTAGCTTCTAAGAAAGAGATTCGTCCATGGAATTAACTTTAATTTAATCTATTATAAAGGAAGAATGAAGTAATCGATAAGCTACATTAATTTTTGTCACGTGGGGTACAGAAACTGCCAGTCCGATGACAAAGCAGTTACAGGCGTGCATCATCCCGCGTCACAAACATAACCTAACCTTCACAAATGCTGGCCCGTAACCTCAAGACTTTCTCTAACTAGATCGTGCAACAAACACATTCATGTCGTTGCCTTAATAATATTTATTTAGTGTTCTGTCTGACGACAGGTCCATATGAACAGGATCCTTCCATCCTTTTCTCGGACTGGGACCTGTTCATATACGTTCTTGGCAGATGATCCAGAAGTGGTTTGCCATTGCCTTCTTCTGTGTGTGAATGGAGTAATTGTTGGGATGCCACGGAGGAAAACTCCGTGTTGCCTAGACCACGGCCTTGCCCAACACAAGTTATAAATTCGGGCACCGCCGGGAATCGAACCCGAGACCCCAGGATTACAAGGCCAGCGTTCTAACCGCTAGACCACCGTGGTATGTCGTTGCCTATATTTAGAAAAAGGTTGGTTCGGTCCCCTGAAGACGAATGTCATGTAGCTCTGACATAATAAATGCATGCAAATTTTTTTAAAGATAGAACCCAGGAAATTGGGTGGGATGTTGTGGTTCCTGACAGGAACTGATAGCGGTATCTTCCAAACTTCGTAGAAAGCGAGAGATTTCTTAGGTAGCTCGGCAACTGACAGGTTCTCAAGTTCTGGTGTACAGAATTCGTTTTATCACCAGCAATTTTTTTAGTTCGTAGATCGTCTTGAAGCTGCTTCATCTGGATACAGCCGGCGTCTAAACCCGCATTAGTCCTCACGCGGTTAAACCCAAGAGAAAGCATTTGGACGGATCACTTCTGACGTCATTTATACTTCTTTCTTCCTACTTGAGATATTCTTTGTTCCGAAGCTTGCAGACGGTCCCTTACCACCTCATTTGCGCCTTCAACCTGCACTTTCTGGTACGTTCGTTTCGGCAAGTTACTCGATTTTTTTATTCACAGTTGAATCGCATGAACGAACTCCCAGACACCTGTCGTGTGTTTCAAGATCGGCTTTGTAGTCAACACCAAACCGGTTACGAAACGTGTGTTAGGACTCCCAAGATATTCACATTGAGATGTGCCCGCTCCGCTGGTTAGCACTCCACATGACATCAACTGCTCTATATGGAACTCGATGACCACTTGTTCCACACTTGCAGACTGAAGGACGTCACCTCTGCGGTTGAGTATCTGTCCAGAGGGCCACTTAATTACTGCACTGATGATGTTTGATGACCGGTCGATAGAGGCAGAGAGTTCGTGAGACTGGTCTTTCGAAACTGACTCCTCTGCTAACCGTTAGTTACCGTCTGACGAGGTGCGTTAGTGCGTGAAGGTTTACACAGCTGCGTATTCTTCAGAGCAAGTAACGACGTAAATTCCATCCGTCTCCGTTGGTCATCGTCGTAAAACCTCTGTACCTGTTTAACGTCAAGCCACAAAGTCACATACGTTTCGAAGACCATCGACATTATTCCGCCCAAGTTGGAGCTCGCTACGTCAGCGGTAGGCGGGACCTGGGATTGCTAAATCGCGACACTGCAGTGGCAGGTACAGGAATGAGACATGTTTGATGAAAATCAGTCTGCTAATTCAGAATTAAGGGAGATGAACATCATCTCATTTTCCGTAGACTAAAAAGTACAATATGTGATTAATAACGGATTTAAACGACAATATACATTCTATTTTAATCTAAGTTTCTAATTTGCTAAATTCCGCATTCAGTGACAGTAATTTTTGTTATTATTATTATTATTAAGTGTTCTGTCTTACGACAGGTCCATTGCTCTGCCCAAAAAGAGCTCTCCAGTTGTCCCTATTCTCGGCTTCTCGCTTTAATTCCTGGAACGTCATCTTCTTTCCTTGTATAAG